GATAATGCGATGTAGATTCTTGTGATTGTGACACAGTCGATGAGGTAGATCAGTGTCAACTTGATTCTTTTATAACAGATAGTTCAATACATAATGCAAACTTTCATTTAAAAAAATGGCAAAGCCGCACGGCATAGGCAATCTCATTAAAATCAGTTCCAAGCTCTCGCTGCCGCTGAACAAAGATCTGAGGACATCCTATTATGGGTCACGTCAGAACGACCTTTCGCGAACTTTGACCGAGAACTGAAATGACTAACGGGAAGTCGACATCAGCCGATAAGAAAGCAGCTTCCTCGAGCTTTAGGGCACTCGTTTCAACCAGGCGACTTCCATTTCAGACTACACTTGCGAAATATGTTGACACAGTTCTCGATTAAAGTTTGTCAGCCAATCAGGTGGCTCGCTCGATTCTGCCCGCGTTTGAAATCTACTTCCGCTCGGGGTTGGACACATTTTCCCAACTCGCGAAATAAACTGTCGATATTTCGGTAAGTTAGGGACATTAATCGAATGAAGATGGCTTGTACATGTGTAGAAATGTGTTATCGATCAATCTACGGCCAGAAATGCGCTTGTCAATAAGCGTAATATAAAAAAAATCGCCTTGGATATCGAATGTAAACAAACCGGCAAGATGGCGAGTGACGCTCCTTTTCTCTACTTACATATTGGGGATATATATTTTTATTTACTGATCAATAACGAGTTCCTGTGTGTGCAACGCCACTTCCGTACAAATGTTTATCCCACGGAAGCGAGATATAGACGATGATTTTGACGGAATCAGTCGTATGGGCTGCAACTGTCGTTCGGAATACCCCGTGTTAACGTTTTCGAGGTTGCATGATTCGAAAACACATTCCGACTGTCACTTTCGTGATCTTGTAAGCGACATTTTGATTGGTCGGATGAAAGGTCGTTCTGACGTGACTCGTAATGGGATGTCCTCAGATCTATGTTTAGCGATAATGAGAACTAAGATCTGATTTTAAAGAGATTGCAGGTATAGACAATGGTAGGTAACTGAAATGTTAAAAGTCTTTTTAAAAGACATTATTTTGTTTGAATATTTCAGTCTGGTATTTTTCTGACCTGACTAGAGCTGTTTACGAAAAAGGCGAGTGTGGTAATCCAGATAACTACAATGGTATCGATATACATCTCGCTTCTCAGCGTCTTAGGTAAAGTCAACACTATTATACTGTGTAAACGACTAACGCAAATATTAGGAATAAAACACTAGAAACTGAAGCAGGGTTTAGACAGGTAGTTATTCAACTACATACAACATATTTACATTATATTCTATGGTACTGAAATGTGGAGCAAACACAAATTCAAACTGTATGTGGCTTTGGCAGATTTTGAGATTTTTGATTTAGTAAATCGGGAGAAGTGATGCCGCCTTTCTAAACTTATGGTTTGTTTGTTTTGCTGTTTAACGCCGCACTCCGCAATGCTCCAGCTGTATGACGGCGGTCTGTAAATAATCGAGTCTGGACCAGACAATCCTGTGATTGACATCATGAGCATCGATCTACGCAATTGGGATGCGATGACATGCATTGTAAACCTATAGAAAGTGTGTTCTGTGTTGTGATTGGCTAATTTGGGTCACATGACCAAATGTGAAAGGGTGAAAATATGATTTGAATTCCCTGAAGCAAGCGACCGAATCACTGTGTAGGAAATAGAGATTACTACACGAGTGTCTGTCAGATACCATTGATCTTACAACGAGTTGTTTCAAAACGTATCTAACTCGCTTCGCTCGTTAGATATAATCTGTAACAACGAGTTGTAAGATCAATGGTATCTGACAGCCACGAGTGCAGTAATCTGTTTCTTTCACACTTTAGGATTATTGACAACACTAAAACAAAGATATATCCATGTATGTGACAGTCCTCATTCACCTCGAGAAGCTGCAGCTCAGATTTTGTAAATCCAGCAAAACAACACACAACTGGGCAAGCCAACAAAACTAGGGCCCTATCCACTTTTCTACACAGTACTGATGAAAATAATGAATTTCTATCACCATGCATGTACATAGTCATCCGGTTCGTAAACAACATGGATTTCAACATGCAGTTTTCGGTTGACTGAAGATTTCCAAAGCATGTGTTCTGCCAACTGGGGGTGTTCTTAATCAAGGTGGGTTGATGCACTTTGCGAGGTAAGGCCTTTTTTATTACAAATATAGATCTTGTTACATGATCTTACCAAAACAGGCAAAAATACTGCTCCCCCATACACATACAATAAAAGCCGCCATGAAATTGGAGTGTGTCAGGATGTCCCAGGGTGTTCTGAACCCATTTCCAACAATTTTCGAATCCTTATAGGGTTTGCTTGTGCCAACGCCGTCAAAAGCTAGTTACCGCTTGCAGGACATCGCCGCTACGAAATTGGCGTGTGCCTTGACTGGAGCATCCTTGGGTGTTCTTGACCCATTTCCTACCTCGTCCATGTACTCAAATGGTCTGCTTTTACCAATGCTGTCAAAGGTAAGATACCGTACCGATTGGCAATTGGTAAATGAACAATCAAGTCAGCAATCCCGTTTGTCCGAATGTGATTCTGTGCCTGAGCCATGTGGGTTGTGTGGGTCAAGCAGTTGGGTAAACCCTGTTTGTTTATTGTAACCTGATTCTGTGGCTAGTTCCAGGAGGAGTTTCTTGAGGGTGGGATGTGTCATACAAATTACTGGATAACACTTGTACTGATTCTGTGAGATTCTAACAGATAGGCACTTTTCCTGGACTTAAATAACCCCGTGTTCAGTGACGGTAACGGGTTTGGATTATACCTCACCCAGAGACCTTAACCTGGGGATTGAGCGATCATCGCGAGCAGTTCTCTGACCCCATCGCGCACATGTCGTTTCATTAATGTCAGGTCGAGGACTTGCTTATTTGTGTGAGGGTGGAGGGGTTGATGGATGGTTAAGGATTGCTTTCTCGCTATGCTTTGTTTCGTGTTGACTTTAGAAGTGTGGCTAATACTATACAATAACCATTCAAATGGATCTGCCCTTTAGAAACGTTCTGCAACAGACAATCATAAGGATATAGATCCGTTACTTGCAGGAGCTGACTTGGAGAATGCAGCAATGTGATAAAACATTGTATGTAATTTGTATAGTTGCTTATATGTATAATTTCAAATCATATTTTGTACATTATTTATGAGCACGCACACGCACGCACACACGCACGCACGCACGCACGCACGCACACACACACACACACACAGTCGGGTAGCCTAATGGTGAAAGCGTTGGATTCCCGACATGGGTACATTTCTGGTGTCACCCGTTTGATATTGCTGGAATATTGCTAAAAGTGGCGAAAAATCAAACTCACTCACTCACTCATTGCGTTATTCAATGTAACCAAACTGTCTCCGAAAAAGCTTGCATGTATAGCACGGCAAATGTTTACAATCAGTTAACTCCCTTGCCTCGGGAAGATGATTTCAGCACGTAAGTACACATTCCGCGAGGTCAAGTATGCAAATGTTGTAGGCCGAGTATCTTATATTGAGAGAAATATTCAATAATTGAATTTGACATTACATCTTTTTACTATTTTTTTCCTGACTTGAAGTTATAAGTTAAAACATAACCATGCGGGATACTATGTAGTATTCTGTTACACTGGCATCTGACTATCCGTCCAACAATTAGGAGATAAACATACTGTGTTTTCAATGTAGAGCCAGGTTACCTGTAGATTTAAGCACGCAAATTGAATTTGGAACCAAAAGCGACCTTAAAATATATATCATTAGATATTCCCCATGCACACACAGGCAAAGGAAAGAGGTTTTCTCTTTACTTGATGAACTGCACCACACCCGACCAAATAACCACGTGTTCATACAAAATATACTCTGCAAAAAAGAAACGCAAAAGTTGTAAAAGTGTTGCCATTACAAAATTAATGCCACAAAATGTCATGCCTAAATGGATTGGGATTGATTTGTGTGGAAAGAATGAGGTAGTGCAGAAATGTGGTGAAAAGATGAAAAACCGCAAAAACACAACCACGCGAGAGCCTGGCACCGAAACACACAAACATGACATGCACACGCACGTGCAACATCACTTTAGGCTATAAAAAAGTTTGCATGCCATCACAATCCTACAGCAAGTGAACAGTAAAAGCATGCCACGACTGGTGGAAGCCCAACGCAACAACACCATTGCGACGTCAATGGTGTTAAGGTCACAGAATATGGCCACAACTGCGATGGAGACATTTTATGCTTTGCCGTGCGGATGGTAGACGTCGTGTTTATAGGCGTTGCGGGGAACGTTATGCACGAAACTGCACACATGTAATAGTGTGACGACGTGGACAGCCATCCCCTACGCTGGTAGAAAAGACTTGGTGCAAGTTCTGTGGAATTTAACGGCACAACTTTACACGGATGAGATTCTTCAGCCACACGTCCTTCTCATTATCCAACAAACGAACATCATTTTCCAACAAGACAATGCCCGACCTCACACGGCAAGACTTTTTCAGGAATCACAACTTCCAGGTTCTGCCATGTACATCCAGGTCTCCAGATCTCAATCGAACCAAATCAAACATTTATGGGATGCACTGGATCAACGAATGCGAGCACGTCAGCAACATCCACAGAACCTCCGACAGTTGGCACAGACACCGATGGTGGGAGAACATTTCCCAGGCTACAAATTCGGGATCTGATTTCTTCCATAGGCCGGTGATTGCAGTCAATTTTGGACTGTAGTGGTGGCCATACAAGAGGAGAACAGATGACCTTCACCTTGAAGATCTACTGTTCCCTTGGTTAATGACATTGATGTGTAATTATATTGAATAATCGATTACCAACTGTTGATTATTTTCATGATATATAAAATATGCATCTAAAATAAATTTTGCGTCTCTTCATCTTTGCAGAGTACATAAAGTGAAAAGTATAGCATGCCTCCCCTCACATTGTTATAAACATTAAAGGAATACCTAATATTTATTGTAGCCAAAGGGGAATAAATACAAACAAAAACATTTCCATAATCATATCAAATTTCATCTTCCAGAGGCAAGAGGGTTAACTGACTATAACAAGTCCAGCTTCCACCCTTGCCGAACAAGGCTGGAATTTTAGAGTTAAACTATAGCTGGACTAACGATTCTATGCACAGTCCATTCAAAACGAAGTTAATGTTCAGTTCGTAAACTGCAGATTTCGGTCTATTGCAAGATTTACAACACATGTATACTATAAACTTGGAGTAAAATGACATTTTCCAAATCTTTTCATGTTTGGTGCTAAAATAATTTGTTGCACTTTGCGAGGTAAGACCCGTTTTATTACAATATAGATCTTGATTATCGATCAGCTTGTCTTGATTGGCCGCCGTCAATTTGTTTGAAGCAAATAAAAGTCATATCATTGGTCATTTGAAGGGACATAACTCGTAATAGGCACTAGTGGAGCTACAATCGACCCACGAAATTCCAGCCTTGCATGCAAGGGTGGAAACTGGACTTTTATAGTCAGTTAACTCCCTTCCCCCGGGAAGATGATTTCAGCACGGAAGTACACATTCAGCGTGGTCATGTATGCAAATGTGGTACGCCCAGTATCTTCATACAAGTTCATTGTACGATTCCGACTATATATCAAGCATGTGTTAATGAATCACTATGATATTGAGATGATGCCTGGTGCTCGCGAAAAGGTGATCATCTTCTGCCCCACCAGTGGCATCCATCACAAACAATCGCAAAGGCAAGTCATCTGAAAAACAACGCGGGAACATATGGTACAAGTCAACACAGGGAACTGCTTCAGACATTAATTTGAAGGCATGTGAGACAGGATTTCTTCTTTCATGGTCCCTGTTGATTCACAGACAGGGTTGTTGTGGAAATCAGCAACGTTGGTGCCTCAGATGTTGTAGGGAATGTTCTTATAAAAGTGTTCGAACACAATTCAAAGTTACTTGCAGAGTTGGCACCCTTGTTACTCACATCCTGACCACTTCAACAACTTGAGGCGGTTCCTGTTTGTGTTTAGAGAGTACCTTCTTAACAAACATCACTAGAATTAGGAAGGTGATGGAAAACAAGATGCTCTCAGCAAACAAAACATAACTGTACCACATAGGTGAAAACAGATCCATGGTGACGCCAATAATCTGAGGGTTTGCAAGTCCGCCGAGACTCAAGGCAACATATATGACACCCATCAGCTTCCCTGAGAGTTGGACAAGCTCCTTTTCTGTCCAGGTGAGACTTGCGGGGAACACCACTGAGATTGCCAGTCCTATACCAACAATGCTGATCCAGATACCAGTACCAAATCCATAGGTGGCTGACAGGAGGAGACCGAGCTGAGAGGCGCAGAGGACGACGCAGCAGATGGTGAAGAACTGGGCATGTGTGACGAAACTGATGAGGACAATGCCAAACCCCCTCCCAGCTGTGTAGGATGCCCAGAAAGCGGAGGACAGGCGTCCACCATATTTCTTGGTCCAATTCATCTGCTTCACGACAAACACAGCCAGGAAAGATGGGGAGGTGTCTTCCACCTCATCCAGGAAGAAGTAGAAGAGGGCAAAGAGTGCCAGTGTGATAATGAGAAGTCGTCGAGGGAGAGTTCTTTTTTTCCTCACTGGACCTTCTTCTTCATCATGGTCCTTGGCGTCCTTCTGTGCGTCCTTCTGTGCGTCCTTCCGTCGAATGTTACTTGTACCCTTGTTCTTTTCATGGAAGTATTTGATGAGGAACACGAAGGAAGACAACCCTGCAAGAATAGCCACGATGAGAAAGCCATAGTGGATATTACTCTCTGGTCTGGGAGGTGCAATAGTCGTTGTCATGTTGAAGGCTGTTGTGGTGGAGGAGGGGTCACTTTTTGTGAAAGAAGTGTTTGTTGTATCCAACTCAGGTTCCTGGGAGAGGAATGGTTCAAGGACGAAGGGGGCGACGGTTGCCCCGAGAGAGAAGGAGAAATGCAGTGCTTGCATGAAGGGTTTGCCCTCGTCTCCCCACTCTTCCACGATCTCCACATTCGTACCTGGAACAGAGGAAGAACAATTCTCCTTAAGCTAACTGTTTCTTTCTTTCTTTATTCCGGCTAAATGATAGTGGTTGGTAAATAATCGAGTCTGGAACAGACAATCCAGTAATTGACATCATGAGTATCGATCTTCCCAATTGGGATATGACATGCATCAAACCAAGTCTGCAAACCTGACCACCGATCCCGTTAGTCATTTCTTACGACAAGCATGGGTTGCTGAAGACCTATTCTAACCAGGATCTCCACATGAGTTAAGCATGTTCTATGAGGTTAGCTTGAAAAGATCTTGCGCTTGGGGTAAGACTGGTCGTGATTGCATCGTAATTGTATTCAGCAGTTAAGACATGCTATTAGGTTTAGGGTGTACTGAAGAGATTTCTGTCATTTCTGGAATATATGAAGAATCTATCGTGTATTGTCATAGAAACCCCAAACTGAAACATCAAAGTGACCTTTATAAAATTGATGAAGCTGATATGCAATTGGGTCGAAACGAAGATTCTCATCCACAATCAGTTGATCACAGAACGACAAAGGAACGCAGCTCTGGGCATTGTGACCTCCTAAACCACTTGACAACCCGTCCCCCCTGGATAGGGTAAGGATGAGGGTAAGGATGAGGGTAAGGTGAGGTGAGGTGAGATGAGGTGAAATGGGGTTTAACGTCGTGTCCAAGATTATTGCACTTAAAGCGACGTGCATGTACGCGTGTGTGTGTGTGTGTGTGTGTGTGTGGCTGCTTGTACTAGTCCGGACTGATGCCGATTTATTGTGCTAGCTCACTGAGATACCATGCCGCAGTTTAACATGAATGCCCTACTCAGACACAGTATACTGACTCTGAGCCGACCAGTCCTTGTTTTAGCCCCTTAATGCCGAGCACCAGACAGGGTAACAACAGGTACCATCTTTTAACGTCTTTTGGTATGACGCGGCCAGGGATCGAACCCCGGACCTTCCGCTCTCCGGGCGGACACTCTACCACTAGACCACGGAGGCGGTCGATGAGGGTAAGGAAAACATATATATTCTATGTTAGAGAAATAACGTCTTACCTGACCTGGCAGCACCTGTAACCAGCTCGTGTATCAGGAACATCATGACCATTGACCAGTACACAGAACACCAGGGAATGATTGCACACGTCACAGCATACAGGAATGATGACACAAACAACACCACGTGACGGTTGAATCTGTCATAGAGAGCACCGCCGACCAAACTTCCAACTACTCCCCCAACGGCTGCAGCTGTGAAGAAGGCAGCACCCTGGCTTGTGCCTACTCCAGTGATCTGCTGAAGGTCGAGGAAGGCTGGCCCCTTCAGTCCCACTATCCATCCCTGTAGAATATAACAACTATGAAACGGCAGGCTTGGCGCAAAGACACCACACAGAATAACACACATCTTCCAGAGGTAAGAGCGTTGACTGACTATAAAATCCAGTTTTCACCGAACTAGGTTGGAATTCCGGAGTTACATTTGTTTTCAAATACTAGTGATTACAGAGGTGGCATCTGATTGGTCAATAGGAGGGACATAGCAGGGACGTAACTCGTAATAACCACTGGTGGTGCTCCGATCGAGCCTGGAAATTCTTTTATATTCAGTTAACTCCCTTCCCTCGGGAAGATGATTTCAGCACGGAAGTACACATTCTGTGAGGTCATGTATGCAAATGTTGTACGCCCAGTATCTTCATACAAATTAACCCCCTTGCCTCAGGAAGATGAATAACTCACGACTGTGCGGAAATCTGTAACAGGGACATATGTCTCGGGTAAAGTCTACTTACAGAAAAGAATAATGTTAGATTACACTTCAAAGATGTTGGAAGAATGTACGTTCAGAGAAGAAGGATATGAGATACACAACAAGGGTATTGTCAAGGTGTCCTTACAGAGAAGGGTGTTGGGTACACTTCAAGAGTATAGTCAAGGTGTACTTACAAAGAAGGTTAGTGGGTGCACTTCAAGAGTATAGTCAAGGTGTACTTACAGAGAAGGTTGGTGGGTGCACTTCAAGAGTAAAGTCAAGGTGTCCTTACAGAGAAGGGTGTGGGGTACACTTCAAGAGTAAAGTCAAGGTGTACTTACAGAGAAGGGTGGTGGGTACACTTCAAGAGTAAAGTCAAGGTGTACTTACAGAGAAGGTTGGTGGGTGCACTTCAAGAGTAAAGTCAAGGTGTCCTTACAGAGAAGGGTGTGGGGTACACTTCAAGAGTAAAGTCAAGGTGTCCTTACAGAGAAGGGTGTGGGGTACACTTCAAGAGTAAAGTCAAGGTGTACTTACAGAGAAGGTTGGTGGGTGCACTTCAAGAGTATAGTCAAGGTGACCTTACAGAGAAGGGTGCGAGGTACACTTCAAGAGTAAAGTCAAGGTGTACTTACAGAGAAGGATGTGGGGTACACTTCAAGAGTATAGTCAAGGTGTCCTTACAGAGAAGGGTGGTGGGTGCACTTCAAGAGTATAGTCAAGGTGTACTTACAGAGAAGGGTGTTGGGTACACTTCAAGAGTATAGTCAAGGTGTACTTACAGAGAAGGGTGTTGGGTTCACTTCAAGAGTATAGTCAAAGTGTACTTAAAGAGAAGGGTGTTGGGTTCACTTCAAGAGTATAGTCATGTGTACTTACAGAGAAGGGTGTGGGGTACACTTCAAGAGTACAGCCAAGGTGTACTTACAGAGAAGGATGTTGGGTACACTTCAAGAGTATAGTCAAGGTGTCCTTACAGAGAAGGGTGTTAGGTACACTTCAAGAGTATAGTCAAGGTGTCCTTACAGAGAAGGGTGGTGGCTGCACTTCAAGAGTATAGTCAAGGTGTCCTTACAGAGAAGGATGTTGGGTTCACTTCAAGAGAATAGTCAAGGTGTACTTACAGAGAAGGGTGTTGGGTACACTTCAAGAGTATAGTCAAGGTGTCCTTACAGAGAAGGGTGGTGGCTGCACTTCAAGAGTATAGTCAAGGTGTCCTTACAGAGAAGGGTGTGGGGTTCACTTCAAGAGTATAGTCAAGGTGTACTTACAGAGAAGGGTGTGGGGTGCACTTCAAGAGTAAAGTCAAGGTGTACTTACAGAGAAGGGTGGTGGGTGCACTTCAAGAGTATAGTCAAGCTGTACTTACAGGCAAGGGTGTTGGGTGACTTCAAGAGTATAGTCAAGGTGTACTTACAGAGAAGGGTGGTGGGTGCACTTCAAGAGTATAGTCAAGCTGTACTTACAGAGAAGGGTGGTGGGTGCACTTCAAGAGTATAGTCAAGGTGTTCTTACAGAGAAGGGTGTTGGGTACACTTCAAGAGTATAGTCAAGGTGTCCTTACAGAGAAGGGTGGTGGGTGCACTTCAAGAGTATAGTCAAAGTGTACTTACAGAGAAGGGTGTGGGGTGCACTTCAAGAGTATAGTCAAGGTGTACTTACAGAGAAGGATGTTGGGTGCACTTCAAGAGTATAGTCAAGGTGTACTTACAGAGAAGGGTGGTGGGTGCACTTCAAGAGTAAAGTCAAGGTGTTCTTACAGAGAAGGGTGTTGGGTGCACTTCAAGAGTATAGTCAAGGTGACCTTACGGAAAAGGGTGTTGGGTACACTTCAAGAGTATAGTCAAGGTGTTCTTAGAGAGAAGGGTGTGGGGTACACTTCAAGAGAATAGTCAAGGTGTACCTACAGAGAGGGTGTGGGGTTCACTTCAAGAGTATAGTCAAGGTGTCCTTACAGAGAAGGGTGTTGGGTACACTTCAAGAGTACAGTCAAGGTGTTCTTAGAGAGAAGGGTGTTGGGTTCACTTCAAGAGTATAGTCAAGGTGTCCTTACAGAGAGGGTGTGGGGTTCACTTCAAGAGTATAGTCAAGGTGTCCTTACAGAGAAGGGTGTTTGGTTCACTTCAAGAGTATAGTCAAGGTGTTCTTAGAGAGAAGGGTGTTGGGTTCACTTCAAGAGTAAAGTCAAGGTGTACTTACAGAGAAGTGTGTTTGGTACACTTCAAGAGAATAGTCAAGGTGTTCTTCAGAGAAGGGTGTTGGGTTCACTTCAAGAGTATAGTCAAGGTGTTCTTAGAGAGAAGGGTGTTGGGTTCACTTCAAGAGTAAAGTCAAGGTGTCCTCACAGAGAAGGGTGTTGGGTTCACTTCAAGAGTAAAGTCAAGGTGACCTTACAGAGAAGGGTGTTGGGTACACTTCAAGAGAATAGTCAAGGTGTTCTTACAGAGAAGGGTGGTGGCTGCACTTCAAGAGTATAGTCAAAGTGTACTTACAGAGAAGGGTGTTGGGTGTACTTCAAGAGTATAGTCAAGGTGTCCTTACAGAGAAGGGTGTTGGGTACACTTCAAGAGAATAGTCAAGGTGTACTTACAGAGAAGGTCGTTGGGTACACTTCAAGAGTATAGTCAAGGTGACCTTACAGAGAAGGGTGGTGGGTGCACTTCAAGAGTATAGTCAAGGTGTTCTTACAGAGAAGGGTGTTGGGTGCACTTCAAGAGTATAGTCAAGCTGTACTTACAGAGAAGGGTGGTGGGTACACTTTAAGAGAATAGTCAAGGTGTACTTACAGAGAAGGGTGGTGGGTGCACTTCAAGAGTATAGTCAAGGTGTTCTTACAGAGAAGGGTGTTGGGTGCACTTCAAGAGTAAAGTCAAGGTGTTCTTACAGAGAAGGGTGTTGGGTACACTTCAAGAGTATAGTCAAGGTGTCCTTACAGAGAAGGGTGGTGGGTTCACTTCAAGAGTATAGTCAAGCTGTACTTACAGAGAAGGGTGGTGGGTACACTTCAAGAGTATAGTCAAGGTGTACTTACAGAGAAGGGTGTTGGGTACACTTCAAGAGTATAGTCAAGGTGTCCTTACAGAGAAGGGTGGTGGGTTCACTTCAAGAGTATAGTCAAGCTGTACTTACAGAGAAGGGTGGTGGGTACACTTTAAGAGAATAGTCAAGGTGTACTTACAGAGAAGGGTGGTGGGTACACTTCAAGAGAATAGTCAAGGTGTTCTTACAGAGAAGGGTGGTGGGTGCACTTCAAGAGTATAGTCAAGGTGTCCTTACAGAGAAGGGTGGTGGGTGCACTTCAAGAGTATAGTCAAGGTGTCCTTACAGAGAAGGGTGGTGGCTGCACTTCAAGAGTATAGTCAAAGTGTACTTACAGAGAAGGGTGTTGGGTGCACTTCAAGAGTATAGTCAAGGTGTCCTTACAGAGAAGGGTGGTGGCTGCACTTCAAGAGTATAGTCAAAGTGTACTTACAGAGAAGGGTGTTGGGTACACTTCAAGAGAATAGTCAAGGTGTTCTTACAGAGAAGGGTGCTGGGTACACTTCAAGAGAATAGTCAAGGTGTCCTTACAGAGAAGGGTGGTGGCTGCACTTCAAGAGTATAGTCAAAGTGTACTTACAGAGAAGGGTGTTGGGTACACTTCAAGAGAATAGTCAAGGTGTACTTACAGAGAAGGGTGTTGGGTACACTTCAAGAGAATAGTCAAGGTGTCCTTACAGAGAAGGTTGGTGGGTGCACTTCAAGAGTATAGTCAAGGTGACCTTACAGAGAAGGGTGTTGGGTACACTTCAAGAGTATAGTCAAGGTGTCCTTACAGAGAAGGGTGTTGGGTACACTTCAAGAGTATGGTCAAGGTGTCCTTACAGAGAAGGGTGTTGGGTACACTTCAAGAGTATAGTCAAGGTGTCCTTACAGAGAAGGGTGTTGGGTGCACTTCAAGAGAATAGTCAAGGTGTCCTTACAGAGAAGGGTGTTGGGTACACTTCAAGAGTATAGTCAAGGTGTCCTTACAGAGAAGGGTGTTGGGTACACTTCAAGAGTATAGTCAAGGTGACCTTACAGAGAAGGGTGTGGGGTGCACTTCAAGAGTATAGTCAAGGTGACCTTACAGAGAAGGGTGTTGAGTACACTTCAAGAGTTTAGTCAGGGTGTACTTACAGAGAAGGGTGCTGGGTACACTTCAAGAGTATAGTCAAGGTGTCCTTACAGGGAAGGGTGTTGGGTACACTTCAAGAGTATAGTCAAGGTGTACTTACAGAGAAGGGTGTTGGGTACACTTCAAGAGTATAGTCAAGGTGTACTTACAGAGAAGGGTGGTGGGTGCACTTCAAGAGTATAGTCACAATGTACTTACAGAGAAGGGTGTTGGGTACACTTCAAGAGTATAGTCAAGGTGTCCTTACAGAGAAGGGTGTTGGGTACACTTCAAGAGTATAGTCAAGGTGTTCTTACAGAGAAGGGTGGTGGGTGCACTTCAAGAGTATAGTCAAGGTGTCCTTACAGAGAAGGGTGTTGGGTGCACTTCAAGAGTATAGTCAAGGTGTCCTTACAGAGAAGGGTGTTGGGTACACTTCAAGAGTATAGTCAAGGTGTCCTTACAGAGAAGGGTTTTGGGTTCCCTTCAAGAGTATAGTCAAGGTGTTCTTAGAGAGAAGGGTGTTGGGTTCACTTCAAGAGTAAAGTCAAGGTGTACTTACAGAGAAGGGTGTTTGGTACACTTCAAGAGAATAGTCAAGGTGTTCTTACAGAGAAGGGTGTTGGGTTCACTTCAAGAGTATAGTCAAGGTGTTCTTAGAGAGAAGGGTGTTGGGTTCACTTCAAGAGTAAAGTCAAGGTGTCCTTACAGAGAAGGGTGTTAGGTTCACTTCAAGAGTATAGTCAAGGTGTTCTTACAGAGAAGGGTGTTGGGTACACTTCAAGAGTATAGTCAAGGTGTTCTTACAGAGAAGGGAATTGGGTACACTTCAAGAGTATAGTCAAGGTATACTTACAGAGAAGGGAATTGGGTACACTTCAAGAGTATAGTCAAGGTGTTCTTACAGAGAAGGGAATTGGGTACACTTCAAGAGTATAGTCAAGGTATACTTACAGAGAAGGGAATTGGGTACACTTCAAGAGTATACTCAGGGTATCCTTACAGAGAAGGGTGTTGGGTACACTTTAAGAGTATAGTCAAGGTGTTCTTAGAGAGAAGGGTGGTGGGTGCACTTCAAGAGAATAGTCAAGGTGTACTTACAGAGAAGGGTGTGGGGTACACTTCAAGAGTATAGTCAAGGTGTACTTACAGAGAAGGGTGTTTGGTACACTTTAAGAGTACAGTCAAGGTGTACTTACAGAGAAGGTTGGTAGGGTACACTTCAAGAGTATAGTCAAGGTATACTTACAGAGAAAGTGTGGGGCGCACTTTAAGAGTATTGTCACAATGTACTTACAGAGAAGAAAGACGAGAGATACAGGCCCATAGTGTAGTAGAACTTCTCTCTGTACACAGGACTCGCCATTTTCAATTTTATTCTTTTTATCCACGACGTCTTCTGCTGTGTGACAACGGGAACCGGATGTGCCTTCTCGGCAAGGCCAGGCGTGTTTCCGCCGGACGACATGTGGCTGTCAAAAAGGATTTTATGAAGTTATTTCATTTAAAAAGGGACGATACTTGAAGGGTAGCTCCACGGGGAGAGAGGTGTGTAGGACTACATGTATTAAGAAGCTCATTTTGAAGCACTAGTTTTGAGGACTGTAAAGAGACGGCTATGGAATACTATGATTCATATAAAAGCACAATTCCCATGAGAGGTTATCGTGGGTTTCAGGAGTTATTTAAAAGCACAATTAAAGCTTGGATACTGCATTCTGCTTGATCAAAAGCATGGTTACAGCATTGTGTTATTCAAAAGCATGGTTACAACATTGTGTTATTCAAAAGCATGGTTACAACATTGTGTTATTCAGAAGGATGGGTACTACATACTGTTATTCAAAAGCATAGATACTGCATTGTGTTATTCACAAGCATTGATACTGCATTGTGTTATTCACAAGCATGAATACTGCATTGTGTTATTCAAAAGCATGGATACTGCAGTGTGTTATTCACAAGCATGGATACTGCATTGTGTTTATTCAAAAGCATGGATACTGCATTGTGTTTATTCACAAGCATGGGTACTGCATTGAGTTATACAAAAGCATGGATACTGCATTGTGTTATTCAAAAGCATGAATACTGCATTGTTTATTCAAAAGCATGGATACTGCATGGTGTTATTCACAAACATGAATACTGCATTGTTTATTCAAAAGCATGGATACTGCATGGTGTTATTCACAAACATGGATACTGCATGGTGTTATTCACAAACATGGATACTGCATGGTGTTATTCAAAAGCATGATTACTACATTGCGTTATTCAAAAGCATGGTTACTACATTGTGTTATTCAAAAGCATGGATACTGCATGGTGTTATTCACAAGCATGGATACTGCATGGTGTTATTTACAAGCATGGATACTGCATGGTGTTAGTCACAAGCAGGGATACTGCATGGTGTTAGACACAAGCATGGATACTACATTGTGTTACACAAAAGCATGGATACTGCATTGTGTTATTCACAAGCATGGATACTGCATTGTGTTAGTCACAAGCATGGATACCGCATTGTGTTATTCAAAAGCATGGTTACTACATTGTGTTATTCACAAGCATGGATACTACATTGTGTTATTCACAAGCATGGATACTGCATGGTGTTATTCAAAAGCATGGATACTGCATTGTGTTATTCACAAGCATGGATACTGCATGGTGTTATTCACAAGCATGGTTACTGCATGGTGTTATTCAAAAGCATGGTTACTACATTGTGTTATTCAAAAGCATGGATACTACATTGTGTTATTCACAAGCATGGATACTGCATGGTGTTATTCAAAAGCATGGAGACTGCATTGTGTTATTCACAAGCATGGATACTGCATTGTGTTATTCAAAAGCATGGATACTGCATTGTGTTATTCACAAGCATGGATACTGCATGGTGTTATTCAAAAGCATGGTTACTGCATTGTGTTATTCAAAAGCATGGTTACTGCATGGTGTTTACTTCAGCACGATTCCCAACAAGGACATGTTGTGGTTGTTCCATGAGGGCTGTTAACGAAAGGGTTGCTGAAGGGAGTGTATGTCTAAGCACCATTTTCACGTTGATAAAGCCAGGTAACTGAATGGGGTCACACAATTCGCACAGCTAAACACAATCATTTATGAAATGGGACAAAACATTCCTCAAGCAAGCAATTACAACGCTGCAATTCAGCAGCACGAACGGAATTCGTGTTGAAAGCTGTAAATCGAAGGAAAGAAGATAGCTGACCCGTCATGGAAGACCATAACTATTTAAAAGCATAATCGCAACCTTCACTCTTTGGTATTTGAATAATCTTAAAAATCGGGGTTTTATTCGTAAATAACAAAACACAATTGGTTTACATGACGTAACACAACGGTTAGTGTGAGTGAGTGAATGTGTTGGGTTTAACGCCGCTTTTAACAGTATTCCAGTTATATCGCGGCGTGTCAGCTTAATGTGGGAGGAAACCCCGAAGTGATGCAGGTCTCAGACGTTTGCCACTTCGGTGAAACCCACGAGCACGGGTATGGTGCTGACAAACTTGAAACGTAATCGGGGCGAACCGGGATTCGAACTCGCAATCATAGGTTTCTGGCGTGCCCAAGGGACGCAACTCTGCACAGCGAATCGCAGCACCTTAGACGACTGGGCCACCCGTACCCCTACAACGGTTAGAGTGATGATGTATGGCAATGTCTGCTTCTGTTTGTCCTATTTTGTTTTAATCCAAGTCATGAATAAGTCATGAGTTTCTAAGCACTATACATGGGCTTCACCAAAGACGGAAACAGCCTAAGCCTGCATTCCTTGGTTAATGGCGTGTGGTGCTGCTCACAGAATCAATCACTAGTTTGACTCCATTATTTACAGACCACTGTTATATATAAGTAACAAAATTTATGGATGTCAACTTCATTATTATTAGGAAAACAACGTTTCGGAGCATATGCTTACTCCTTCAACCGTTATATGGATGGAACATTTCTACAAAGATGTATACACCCGTTAAGACCCGGGGTAGAAAAGGTCTTCAGCAACCCATGCTTGCCCTAAAAGGCGACTATGCTTGTTGTGAGAGGCGACTAACGGGATCGGGTGGTCAGGCTCGCTGACTTGGTTGATGCATGTCATCGATCCCAATAGCGTGGATCGATGCTCATGATATCAATCACTGGATTGTCTGGTTCAGATTCGATTATTTACAGACCGCCGTCACATAGCGGGAATATTGCTGAGTGCGGCGTTAAACAACAAACAAACAAGCAAACAAACAAGCAAACATGTATACAATGGAACACAAACCTGTCGTCTCCCCTAAGGAGTTGGACAGACTCCGGGCACGACGTGCTGTGCTTCTCCTTCATGTCAGAGTGTGAACTGCCTGACACTGCCATCGTCAGACTGAGTCTTGACAGATACACTATCGGGTCTGTTAAATCCATGTCAAGTAAACTGTTAACCACGTGTCTAATTATTATAAGTGTGAATGTTATATCAACTATCCATGGTAGGGGCCTATGAATGTGGTATTTAGTGGACACCTTTGGCCCGGAATAGGTATAATATATAATTCAGTTTGCACAGTGTTTGATACGAACATGAGTGGGTCGGGTTGAACAAGCTCCATAAAAATCAATATAAAGAAAGATAATGACATATTGCTGGGACCAGCAAATGTACCACTAAATTCTTCTCTCAAAGAGTAAGAATACTCCTTAATGGAATAAAGAAAGGACTTTCTTTACATTTACAGAAGGTGTGAGACAAGTGGAATTAATTTTTGTTGTTGATAATTTATTATTTTTGTTGCATTTTACATAAGTTGCGCATACATATCAGACTTGTCACTACATTTTCTAAAATAGTAAATGACAGCTTGACCAAAACTGATTAAACATGTTAACATTCGAATTCAAATTTGCTGCATATTTAGTTAAATTGAAATAGTCGGAAAGCTCCCGTTGGATGTCTTTGAAATCGGGCTTTTTATGTTGTATTCTTTCATTAAATATGTAATATTTTAATATAAATTATCATTATGTTGAGAGGAGAATTGTTTCTTTTGGTATAACCCAGGAAAACTATTTCCTCAGATATATTTGTATTTATCTGAGCGTCCGAAGAAAGCCAGACTTTCAATTCATTCCAAAGAGGGCGAACACAGGAACATCCCCCAAAAAAGTGAAACACAGACTCTTTCTCTTTAGAACAGTAACTGCACAAATCACTATCCACGTATCCCATTTTATAAAGACGTGAATTTGTGCGTAAAATGTGATGTAAGATTTGATACCGAAACCATTGGAATTTGGTGGCTTTGGTGCATTTGAAAGGCACTAGGTTATAGCTAGCACGATGTCTTTCACCTATGTCATGACCATTTCGCGAAATGTTGATTTCCATCCTTGAGTGGAATTAATGCATTGTGTATTCTCAATACTTCTAAGGATTCGCTTGAATTTTTGCAGTTTTGCAAGTTTGATTTTTCAACTTTGAACCCATCATGACCACATGACAAACTTCAGGGACCATTTAATTCCTTGATCCATGGGGCACTTGTCACAATACGTTGTGACAGATTAACAAGGTTTTATCATTCAGGGCCCTAGGAATTAAAAATGTTTTATTGCAGTGATCTAGGGGATATTTCCAAATTTGACCCATCAGTAACAAAATGATGTCTGATGCAATTCCCTATTTTCACTCGTGCCATATGTTCCCGTGTTGTTGTTTTTCCAAGTGAGCAATTGACTTGTTTTTGCAAGTGTTTTTGACGGATGACCCATGGGGAAGCATGATACGCTCACCTTATCACGAGCACCTGGTGCCATCACTATTTGATTGTGATTCATATTTATCATCCAAAACTGGCTCCCACAGGAGATATCGCTTGGATTAGATCAAGCGATATCTACACTGTAGATATCGCTGCAATGAAATTACGTCACAATGCTTTGCAGACCATGGTGACGTCACTGGTTACCATGACATCACAATCGAATGACATCACTAATGGCTCTGCTACTGAAGCTGTTAGCAGTACTTTTTACACTGAAGACACTGCTAATTACTGTCTACAAATTGAAAAAGTTGGAAGAATGATGTTGGATGATAAATAAAATCTAAAATCCTTGGCAAGCCTCGGAATTTTTCCACTTTTATCAACTCGTGTTGATATATTTGATATCAAAAGACACTCGGGTGAGATTCTCTATATAGTCGGAATCAGACAACGGTTTTTTGCTTTTAACAGAGATTTCTAATGATTTTGTGAATGGTTTTGTCGCTTTTAATTAAACAGCATTTCTGTGTTGTCACAGCGGGTTGTGGACATATGCCACTGTTAAATTGACGGGGCCTAGTGGTTAAAGCGTACGCTCGTCACGCCGAAAACCCGGGTTCGATTCCCGACATGGGTACAATGTGTGAAGCCCATCTCTGGTGTACCCCGCCGTGATATTGCTGGAATAT